CTGCTGCTGCAGCAGCCACCGCAACACCAGCAGCAACAGCAACAGCACCACCAGCAGCAGCAACAGCACCAGCAGCAGCAGCAGCAGCAACAGCAGCAGCAGCAGCAGCAGGATTTGCTGCTGCACCGCTGCCTCCTAATTATGTTGCAATCGACTATAAAAAACTCCGAAAAGAAATCTCAAAAGCAGAAAAACAATGCCAGAGATATGAGGCCAAATTAAGAGTGAGACAAACCCTAAACCCTAAACCCTAAACCCTAAACCCTAAACCCTAAAACCCTAAATAAATCACAAAAATAAATCACAAACCCTAGATGCAAACGCAACAGACAAGCCTCTGCTGTTTAGGGAATGTGTCTTCAAGGCGATTAAAGAACTTGAACAAGCCGAGCAGAAGCTCACCAGCTTCATCAAGGTCTGATAAACCCTAAACCCTAAACCCTAAACCCTACACCCTAAACCCTTAACCCTAAACCCTAAACCCTTCAGAGGTAGAAGGCTGCTGCCTGTATGCAACATTTTGGTTGAGTATATGGACTCACCATCGTGGCTTTGATGCTGATGGTTTAGAGGATAGGGTTTAGGGTTTAGGGTTTAGGGTTTAGGGTTTAGGGTTTGCGCTGTAGGATCTGAGAGAAAAGCTGCACACGGAAATTGCTTTGCAGCAGATTCTGGCTGAAGATGACCAACGGGTAAGAGAGGGTTTAGGGTTTAGGGTTTAGGGTTTAGGGTTTAGGGTTTGTTGTCGAGTCCCTTTAGGGTTTAGGGTTTAGGGTTCAGGGCTTGTTGCTAAGACCCTCTAGGGTTTAGGGTTTAGGGTTTAGGGTTTAGGATTTGATTTCAATGGCCATTAGATACCAGGGTTTAGGGTTTAGGGTTTACTGTTTAGTGTTTATATTAGATACGGAGGCCCTATACGTTTCACCATCTAGCTTTCTGGGTTTAGGGTTTAGGGTTTAGGGTTTAGGGTTTAGGGTTTAGGGTTTAGGGTTTGATATGCAGTGTCTGGAAGCTGTGAGAGGGAAGGAGTCTGTGAAGAGGCCGCGAAGAAACTTAAAAAAGACAAACAAAAAAAAAGCGAAGGGCCGTCTATAAAGGGTTTGTCTGCTTTAGGGTTTAGGGTTTAGGGTTTAGGGTTTAGGGTTTAGGGTTTAGGGTTTAGGGTGTCTGTACACCCCACCGGTTTGCTGTTTTAATAGAGTAAAAAGCTGCTGTCTCTCTT